GAGAGAGAGAGAGAGAGAGAGAGAGAGAGAGAGAGAGAAAGAGAGAGTTGCTGTCGCTAGGAGCATTGGGTTTGAGATAAGTTAATAGATAATCGTGCTCCAGGGCTTCATCAACGACAACACCCAACACCAGGCAAACCACCCGGTGACGGCCTCAGGTCTTCCAACGTCGAGTTCAATTGCGGATTGCGCGGCTCCGAGAACTATTTCGACGGGTAGCTACCTTGATCAGTGCCAGCATCCCACGCGAGTGGAGTGTGAGTGCTTAGATGTTGGCCGTGCAGGTACAGATGATCTCCCCGCATGGGCGGAAAGCGGCCTTGCACCGCCGACACTCGCTGTATCTGCCGACACGGATTGGGAAGGAGATCAAGCGCTTGCTCAGGAGCACTCGGCGACTAGCGTCGCCCCTTCATTTAACAAAGATCGGCAGCTACATTGGTTCTGCGACCTGGGGTCGCGCCTCACCAATGTACGACTGACACACATGTTACTTGTGCAATTATTCTTGACGCGTCACTCTTTACTTTCGCGCAGTTTCGCGCTCGCACTCTCGCACACACACACTCACACTCACGCGCTCACTCATGGCCACACACTTACTCCATCGCTCTCTCACTCTCACTTCTCTACTCTTTCTGAATGGAAAACTTTGCATGCGGGGTTATCCGGTCCTTTAATTTCTGTGATGTGTCTGTCTACCGTTGAAGTGTCTGGTCGATGGGTGCCTCACTTCGCGCAGCTTCGGGCAGGCAACACAGAAAACCATGGTTACTTACGATATATGTTTTGTGTTTGTCAGGGGGTTGAGATCTGAACAAGGGCTTTGTTGGCTGTTCAGTACAATTTGGTTCGGGCTGTTCTAGCGCCCTGTCAGAAACAAGCAGGTATACAGATTCAGCAAGAATGTTGGAGGGTGGAAGGGGAGAGGAGAAGGATTCTATTTTGGGTCTTCGTGGCCAGCGTATTGCTGCCTCCCCCCCCCCCTCCACTGTTGGAAACCAAAGGCCAAACCTCCTGCAAGTATGTACTTCCCCCCATTGCTTCCCCTGCAAAGAAATCTTTTACAAGATCATTTACAGAGCCCCCCCCTTCACTGCCAGGCCCCCTGCAGGTGTGTAATCCCCTCGTTTCTCCGCAAAAAAGAATCCGTGAAACGAAGTCAAGATGAGCCAAACTACCAGTTGGAGCAATTTTCCGATAATTTCCAGGCACGATCTGGTACACTAGCCAATCCTCCCACCCCACCAACATCCCCCCGGCCCATACCTCCCGAGGTTGGTGGGATTTGGTGGGGATGAGCGTCGCTCTGTAAACATGTGTAGCTCACATGAGAAGATAGCCAACGTGATCAAGCACTCGGACAGATTCTCTTTTAGCACGAGTGGCAGAAATCCCATGGTTCCCGAGAGAAAAACTCTAGCGTTTCGCTAGCTGATCTCCAGGGTGGGTTGGGTGGGCACTTGGAAGTTTTGCCCCCCCCCGTGTTGACGGGGACTAGCCAGACATATCGGAAGGAATTCCTCAAGGCCATGCCACATTATAGCTTGCTCTTCGAGCTAGCTTTCTGTTCGTCCCTAATAAGCTAGCTGAGCGCTAGCACACGTCAACAAAGGCACATGTCCGCATGTAGCAAAACTGCACCTGTAACATGTCTGGACAAGAACTAGCTTCCGCAGGCTAACCGCCAGGGCGTTAGGGGGGAACACCTTCGATGTTCCCCCAAGAGCATCAAGAGCATCGGCTAGCATACACTGTCGTAACAAGTCACGAATGCGTACACTAGCCAATCCTCCCACCCCACCAACATCCCCCCGGCCCATACCTCCCGAGGTTGGTGGGATTTGGTGGGGATGAGCGTCGCTCTGTAAACATGTGTAGCTCACATGAGAAGATAGCCAACGTGATCAAGCACTCGGACAGATTCTCTTTTAGCACGAGTGGCAGAAATCCCATGGTTCCCGAGAGAAAAACTCTAGCGTTTCGCTAGCTGATCTCCCACGCACCGCCGAACGGTTACCATGGGTCTAGCCTCCTGGGCCTCTTTCTCCGCCCTGAACCGGGGTCGGCCTCTCCCTTTTCCGCACACTTAGCTCCTTGTAGTAGCTTCCTGCGTGCCCAAGGAGAAGCCCCAGGATGCGCCACTCTAGCTTCTCCCCCTTCACGGGGATCCGGAAGTCTGTTGCAAAGTGCTTGAACTCCTCGTTGGTCAGATCATCCGCTAGCTGATTGAGGTCTCTGCGGATCCACTGCAGGTCTAGCTCGCAGTTCCGGGCCGCAAGTTCCTCTGCTAGCTCCATCAGGATGAGTCCGGAGGGATACTTCGTGGTCATGGACTTCTTTAGCAAGGCCTCATTGGACTTGTTGTCCGTGTAGCCTCGGAGGGCCACTCGAGAAGCCTTCCTTTCCCCTCCTTCGGGAACCCATAGCTTCACAGCCACCAGGGTCGCTAGCAATTCTAGCGCTGCGATGACTTTCTTGGGGTCCCCTTTCTCGAAGGCCCAGGGGGCCCAGCTCGGCTCCACTTCTAGCGAGAACCAGGGTGTGTGCCCCCCCGGCACCACCTCCAGGAAGCCCCCGATCCAGGCACGTCCCTCGTCGGCCTTAGCATCCGTGAAGAAGCTTCAGGGATCGTTTTTCGCTATCATGGGTAGCGGCCTCTGTAGGCGTCCCCCTCCTTCCATACGGTCGGCTAGCCAGTGGCAAAGGGTCTGCAGCATTACTGGAAGGGTCAAGTAGCCTCTCTTGTCCTGGATGGCCGCCGACCAGGCATGCAAGGGCCCCAGGAAGGGACGCTCCCAGTCCAGTGCAATGGCTGCGAAGCCTAGCCGCCATGGGCTTCGCCTCGGCCCTACCCTCCTTCGCGAGGTTCCTTAGCCAGTCCACTAGCCAGCTTGCTCTCTTCGGTGAGAGCCCCAGCCGGTAGCCCACATAGTCAGTCTCCATCCCTAGCCACTCCACCTTGAAGCCACCCCGCGTCTTTGGCCACTTGAAGGGGTAGCCCATGGCCGCCAGGTAGGTGGAGCTCAACGGCCGGCCTCGTGCTCCGGTGCCTAGCGTCTCCAGGTCGTCCGCATACAGGAGCATGTCGACAGGGTAGGACGCCCCTAGCAGGTGGTGGGTGGCTCTGAGTCCACACGCTGCGATCCTAGTCCACCAGTAGCTGGCGCAGGATAGCCCGAAGGTGCCGACCTTGTTGACATACACTATCTGGGAGTCCGGGTCGCCGGGGGTAGCCTCCTCCGTGTCCACTTGGCACCCCAGGTAGCCGTGCTCATCTTCCCGGTGGAGATACCGCCGATGTGCTTTAGCGATATCGCCCACCACGGAGAAGGCCTTGAGGTCCTTCTCCTGGAGCTCTAGCAGCAAGCACTTCTTTTCCCGGGCCCCAGGCGCCCGTAGCTTGTCACGGCACCTGATCCTGTGGTTCACCCTGACCCCATGGGTAGCATCGTGGATCACCCGCTTCTTCCCGGTAGCTTCGTCCTCCACGATGACCGCCAAGGCTGCGATAGCCCTATGCTCCCCATACCTCTGCTTGAACTCCCTTAGCGACATCTTTTCCATGAGGCCCTCTTGGACGTCCTCCTCGAACTTAGCTCTGACGAACTCACGGTGATCCGCAAGGGAGCCGTAATTGGGTACCCAACTTAGCGCAGGTTCCCAGGTAGCGTTCTCCAAGGCCCATTTGGTCTGCTCTTCAAACACATGGGGGGTCCTGGGTAGCGGCGTCCTTATCCCCACTGGGAGGCCAGTCTCGGCTTCCAGCAGGAACTCCCTGTCCGGGTCCTCCGCCGCCTCGAGTAGCGCGCGTATCAGGCGCAGATATAGCGGCTGCCCCGGGGCCACCTCCAGGATCTTCGGGTCCACGATCCCTCTCTTCTCTAGCCAGGAAGCCCAGAGCTCCCGCAGCTCCCCCAGGAAGGACTCGTCGGTAGCCAGGCGGATGCCCACTCCATCTCCTGCCGCCATCCTGAACGCTTCCCTCTCTAGCTCCCGCTCCGAGCCCAGCTTGCGGATAGCCAGATCTCTCATCTTATCGCGGAGGTCCTCCCAGTCGGCGCCCTCGGCGTAGCTCCTGTCGCCCTGCCTCCAGCGCCCGGGTGAGCATAGCCCTCCCCCATCATGGAAAGGCTTATTCACCCCTAGCTGTCTGCGCGTCCTAGGGGGACCTCTTCCTCCGAGTAGCCGACGTCCATCTGGTTCTTTTAGAGAATCGTCGGGAGTCGCCTCTTGTGTAGCCGTGTGCTCCGTCCCCTCTCCAACGCCACTCAAAAGGTCCGCTAGCCACGCGCACATAGCTGAGGGCCACTGCTCCGTACCTGTAGTTCGGAAGGTACCCGCATTGTTCCGCGTAGCCATGGCTCCCATGCGCTGGCCCCTGAGCGGCCCTTCGTAGTCCCCCGCGGGTCCGAAGACCGGCGGACCCTCAAAAACAAAGTCCGGTAGCTGGACCGGGGTCTTAAGGAGGAGGCGGGTAGGCTTAGCATAAGAAACCCCAAAACTTGCCTGGTGGAAAGCCGCGGTCCGCAATCCCTGCCCAAGTAGCTTTTTGAGGTGCGGCCACTGCCACATCGAGGCTGGCCGACTTCCTCGGTAGGGGCCCTTCTGTAGCTTGCCTAGGTCCTCCGGCTGCTCAAACGCGAGGAACTTGGTCGCTCCCTCTGCCACTACCGTAGCAACATCCCAAGCGAAGTCCGCGAAGATGGTGCCGAGCACAGCCTTCTCTTTCTGCTTGCCCCAGAGCTTCTGGTACCCTCGCGGGTGGGTATAGCTTCTCACTGGGCGTGGCCCCTTGAAGTTAGCCCACACCGCTCTGGAGAATGTGGAGCAGGGAGGCGACAGCAGGACCGCATCAAACTCCTCGGCCCGTAGCCGCTGCAGGAACTGCTCGCGTAGCCCAGGCCTCGCCAAGTCCATCTGCGGAGAGCGCCCGATGTCTACGCAGGTGACTGTAGCCGCGTAGCCCTTACGCTTCGCTTCTCGCTTGATGTGGTTCGTCATGTCTCCGTCCCGTGGTAGCCCTGCAAAGAGGTAGAGGACCTTGATGTGTCTAGCAGGCGGAGCAGGTCCCGGTTCCGCTGCATTTCCGGGGGACATAGCCGGCCCCCGGTCCGGCACCTCCGGCATGGTTCAGGCGGCCTTGTTGGCCTGGGGTAGCTCACCCCGCGTGTCCTTTGGCGGCTGCTTGCACTGGAAAAGGGGATGCTTAGCGTAGCATCGTCTGCACACGTGGGCAAACTTGCACTTCTGGCCCTTCTTGCAACCGCCCTTAGCCTGGTACTTGAAGCAGATTGGCTTGCCCTCGGGGGTGCGGCTAGGTAGCCCGGCGCCTTTGTCCCCTTTATCGCCCTTTCCCCCTCGACCACCTCCTTTAGGGGGGTTCTTCGTCTTGTTGGGGTCCTCTGTAGCGATAGCTGGGCTCCCTGGCACGTTCGGCCTCTTGCCATAGAGGGCTAGCGGAGTCGTGAAGTGGCGCTCCTTCACAGAGGGCTCCTTGTAGCTCTTGACGAGGGCCTCGCCAAAAGGCAGGCCGTGGTTAGCCATGAGCTTGTAAGCATGCTTTCGGATAGCATGCTCGTAGCTCAGCACCAGCGTCCACGGCGGGATCATACCACCGGCATCACCCCCGGCCCGGAGACCATAGCAGTAGTCCCCCAGCAAGTACTCCTTGTACTTCTCGAAGAGCGTCATCTGGACGTCTTTTAGCTCGGCCCGGCCGGGGTGTTTTAGCTTAATCATGATAAGCGCATTCTGAAGCACCGTAAGCCGTAGCCGTAGCTGCTCGGGCCCCGTGGGCATAGAGGTGGTGGACCCTCCCTTCTTCACGGATAGCTGGCCCTTGGCATTCCAAGTGGTGACTAGCACGTCGGGGTCCACCTCATCCCGACTGACGACCTCTGTCAGGGGCTCGGCGCGGAACTCCCCCGTTTCCAGTTCGTACAGCTTCTTCTCGATGTATTCCTTAGCAGGAATATGTTTGTCTTCTAGCTCTCCGAACTGGGAGGAGTACGCATTCCTCATGGCGATATAGTCCGATTGGGCTATCGGCTTCGCTAGCTGGAGAGTCTCATGGGTGGCCTCCACCTCTGCTTGGTTCTTCACCCTGGTAGCTGCGGTGTTCCAGGCCACTACCATGCTAGCTGCTTGCGCCCGGTTGGCCAGGCTAACAGCCGGGTCTAGTCCAAAACTATCCTTCAGGACGGTCTTCAGGTCGGCCTCCCCCGAAACGAAAGCTGCAAACTTAGCCAGGCTATTGATGCCGTTGTGGTACAGTTCTGCCTGGGTAGCACTAGCAACTCCGTGGCTTGTGAGGAGGAACCTGAGGTCTGAGGATCCCTTAGCCAGCTTCTCCTCTTCTGTGGGGGCCGGCGCAGGCGCAGCCATGCTGACTAGCGAAAGAAGGAGGACTAGGGAGCTGGGCCACAAAAATCTTCATAGCCAAGAGTTTTGCCCCCCCCTTTTTCCCGCCAGCCTCTGTCTACTTTGGGCATCCTAGCGATGGTGGGGGAGTATCTGCCGGATCCACCCTTTGGCTTCCCCCCCAGCCCTCCCCCCCCTCCGACCTCCCCTGGCCCACTCTCCCCACACTCTCTCTCCGCTCCCTCTCTCGACCCTTGCTTGCGTCCGACTTTTTAGCGTTTTTAGCGGCAGGGGGCCGTGTCGTGGCTCCTGCTACCTAGCACTCGGCTGGTAGCGGCCTGTCAAAAAACCGTGCGCACTCCTAGCCCTAGCCTACGGCAGAGATCTAGCTTTTACTGGCTAGCCCAGCGACCCTACTATGCCGGCGGCTGGTTCAGCTAGCAAAAGGGCTGCTAATCTCGCCTAGAAAGGCTAGCTCTAGCTGCCCCTGTCGGGCGGCCAGTCGGGCTAGCACGATGGCTGTGGCAGCTAGCGTCGGTACCGCTTGCAATTGTCGCAGTAGTGCGACTCATGCCGGTCGACGCAGTACCACATGCGTCTATTGCATGCTAGCACTTGGCAGCTAGCGCAGACCACCACACAGCGGAATATCCGGTTGGGGACATCCCAACGTCCCCACCCGTAGCAGGTCCGACCAGTAGCAACCCTCACGAAGGCCGGCTCGAAGGCTACCGCCTCCAGTAGCGTCTGGACCCTAGCACAGCCCACCGGCGCCGGGCTGAGGGTCGAGACCAGGAGGAGGTCTAGAGGAAACTGCAGTGGTGGGAGGTCAATGTCCCTCACCGCTTTAGCATGCTCGGAGTCGAGCCCATTCTGGGACCTCCTTAGCTGCTGTGTTGGCGGCCCGCTCCAGGATCCCGCGGGCCAGAGCGCAGTGGGGATGTCGCCCCATGTTAGCTCTAGCGGGGGGCCCCGGGGCACAGGTGCACCCTAGCCTCGCAAGCAGCCGGCGGTGGGGCTATCAACTCCCAGGCGTCCATCAAGGTAGCACCCTGGACTGGCCCCCGGATCTGGCCGTCCTGCAGGCTAGCGTAGCACGACGTGGGTCTTTCAGCAGGTCCTCCCACTCGACGACCCTGTCGCCCGGATAGCGCCCCGAGACTATCCAAGAGGCTAGCCCAGTCGCAGGGTCCAGGCCAGGCGGTAGCAGCGACGGCACCATCTCCCCCTGGTCGTTGCGCCGCATGTGCCCACGGCTAGCATGTGGGGCTCTGCTGTGGGACCTGATAGCACGGCCTTGCCTGGGCCTCTGGGGGTTGGGCTCCGGCCATATCGAGTAGCCCCGGGTCCCGCCAGCTTGGCCTCCCTCAGTGCTGGATTGGCCCGGCGTAGCCATAGCCGCCGACGAGGAGGTAGCCGTGGAAGTAGCCTGGCCATCCCATGGGCGCACCATTGGCCTCGCCGTAGCCTCCTCCTTCTCGAAGAATCCGGCCCAATCCCGATTTTGTTCACGCTAGCCGCGCTTAGGCTAGCCGGTGGCGCCTTGGGCTCCGTGGGTGGTGGCAGAAGCGGAGGTGGCCCTGTGGTAGCTGTGGATGTAGCCGGAGGGCACCCAGCCGGTAGCTGCGGAGGAGGGGCCTTTCTGGGAGGGGGGTCCTTAGCGGGTACCCCCCCCCCGCCGCCTCCCGCTAGCCACTTCTCTCCAGCCGTAGCGCTCGTAGCAACTGCCCCAGCTTTTGCCATGGCCCCCATGGCTGCTCTAGCAGCTGCCGCTGCAGCTTCGGCTGCCCTAGCCGCCTCCTCCAGCCTTGTAGCCTCAGGCGATGGCTCCACTAGCACTGGAGGGGGAGCCTTACCTGGAAAGGCCCCAGCCTCCCCAGCGACCGCCGCTAGCTTGTTGGCCAGCTCTGGGTTCTTTGCTAGCTGGGACCTCAGATCCTGCGTCCCCGCCTCAGTGGATAGCAGGTGTCGCACTTCGGCGACTAGCTCACCCACTGGCAGGTGCTCCCGGGCAACATAGCCTGTACCGGACATAGCTGAGGCGCGGAAGAGACTAGCTGAAAGGCTGGATAGCTGGGGGCTTGAGAGTGCTCCCAGTCACATGCCGGCCACCTTGCTGGTAGCAACTTTTGCTCAAATTTAGCCCTTCAGGTAGCAGTCTCCCGTGGGGCACATGCCTCCCCAGCTTTAGCATGCACAAACCGGCACGCAGCTCTAGCGACATGCAAAACCGCCTTACAGCAACTGCCCTAGCTTGACTGTCCGGTCCCCTTGGGAGGCGTAGCGAGACCTGTACGGCGAACCCTCCCCCCTCACCGCTGGGTACCCACCCTAGCCTGGAGCCCTGGGGACCCGAGTTTCGCCTCATGGGGGCTCGCTTGGGAGGGCCCCGGGGGGGGACAGCGCGTAGCAGAAGAAAGGCATACAGAAGCCACAGCGTAGCAACACAGCGTGTCCCTCTGCTGCCTCTCTGTCTCTTGTTCTTTCTCCTAGCTTCCCCCACCCCCCCCTCCCCCCCTTGTCTTCCCGTTTAGCGGAAGCGTTGTGGAAAAAAAAAAAAAAAGGGGGAACTGGGGGACAAGAAGATGGGAGCTAGCTGCGAGCCCTAGCCGGGCCAACATTTTGCTGCGGTCGACTTGCGCATTAGCTGCACTCTTACTGCTGGGGAAATTGCCAGGCTGCCGCCGCAGCTTGTAGCTGCAGGCTAGCCCAGTCCGGATCCCAACCCCCCGTGTCCTGCCATGGCATGGGGGGTTGCACTCCTAGCTCTCCCTGGCCTTCTTCTACAGGCTGCCCCGGGGGGGGGATAGCTTCATCTCCCGACCCCGCAGCGGAGGCCTCGCTGAGCTCATCTTCACTAGCAGTAGCAGCTGCATGCGGCCAGCACAAACGGCACACGTGAGTATATTCGTGGCTAGCTGGCTTGTCTAGGAGTCTAGAAAATCGACAGAGTTACGGAAAAGCCTACGTCGACCCATCCAGCAGCCATAGCGTCCCGCCTTGCGGAGACGGAACTTAGCCCCGGGCAACTCGACGACCACATAGTTGGCCACCCGCTCGTGCACTCGAGCCTTCTTAGCAGCCACAGTAGCTGGGTCGCCCTCTGAGCCGCCATCCGAGTCACTAGCCACACTCGGGGGAACTGGAGCCGGGTTGTTCTCCAACGGTGGCACGTCTAGCAAGCCGTAGGGCTGGTGCAGGGGGGCGTTCTTCCACTGCAGAACTAGCGGCTCTATGATGACGGCGGCCGCATCCGAGGTCATCCTAGCCCTTTCCACCAACCACAGTTGTAGCTCATGGCCAATCTCGCGCTCGTCGAGCTCGACGTAGCGGTCCGGTGCCCTAGCTACCTGGGCGAACTGGGCCTGCAATCTGGCCACGCGACCCGCGAAGGATCTGGCGTAGATGTCGGAGCCTTCAGGTTTCCAGCGCCCTAGCAGGTCCTTGTCAGCCGGCTGGACATTGAGCAACGAGAGGCCCGTCGGTAGCACGGAGCGTTCACTGTGCTCCGTCCAGAACCCAAGCACCTGGCTAGGTAGCTTGAGGCAGTTGGCCAGGATGCCAGCTGTAGCCACCATGGCGTCTGCGTAGGTCGCTAGCTTGTCCTCCAGCACGCCGTTGGCGCCCAAGCGCGGGAGGAGGTAGTCCCGCTTGTAGCCGGCGAACTGCTTAAGGAGAGCGAAGCCCGTCTCTAGCCAGCGGTAGTCCACGAGGAACGCCCGCTCCGAGATGACGACGGGCAGCTCCTTTACCCTCCTAGTGGGGCCTGAGGTCTTAGTCTTACGTAAGATCGTAACCAAGCGGCCTTCCACCATAGCAAGCTCGGCTGGGATGATGGCCTGAAGATCCGACCATCTTAGCGAGCCCCATATCTTGAGGAGCTTAGCCCACGTCCAGATTCGCCATCCAACGGTTTGCCCATTATCCAGGACGACGGCCTCCATCTGGGCTAGCAAGTAGCTCGGATATCTGGGGGCTCGCTTGGTCAGGGGAGCTCCTTCAGCGAGTTGTTCTGCTAGCTTGTCCTTGGCCGCCCAGGCTAGACGCCCAAAGGTAGCTCGTTCCTCAGAAGGGAACTCCGCCACCTTCTCCATCCAAGCGATAGCTTTCAGTAGTGCCTCTGGAACTGTGCGGCCACAGGGTTCGTCACGCCTAGCCATGAGGTGGTCGACGAGGTCGATGGGCCTCCCAGGCGGAAGGCGTAGCTTAACCTCACCCAACCACAAGCGCCACTGTCGGAAGAGAGTGAGGTAGCGCTTCAGCGTGGACGTACGAGTGGAGCCCACCAGTAGCAGGACGGCTCTGTCCGGGTCCAGGCTGCCCTGTAGCTTGAGAAGGACGGGTGCATCAGCTGCCACGAGTTCCTCATGTAGCTTTTTGACCCAGATAGCCATGAGCTTCTCTTCCCTGGCTGCGGCTTCGGCCCCCGACTCAAGTAGTCGGCGTAGCTTTTCCCCTGGGGGAGGCGCAGGTTCGTGTAGCACGAACTTGGGCTGCTCCTTGACCTGCGCGGGCGGTTGAAGAGCTAGCCAGGTGAGGTCGTCGTGCAGGTAGCCGGTGGCCCTCTTGAGGAGCTTGGACTCCTCCTCAGCCTCCTCTACCCACACCGCGATAGCATCTTGGAAGTTTTGCCCCCCCCCGTGTTGACGGGGACTAGCCAGACATATCGGAAGGAATTCCTCAAGGCCATGCCACATTATAGCTTGCTCTTCGAGCTAGCTTTCTGTTCGTCCCTAATAAGCTAGCTGAGCGCTAGCACACGTCAACAAAGGCACATGTCCGCATGTAGCAAAACTGCACCTGTAACATGTCTGGACAAGAACTAGCTTCCGCAGGCTAACCGCCAGGGCGTTAGGGGGGAACACCTTCGATGTTCCCCCAAGAGCATCAAGAGCATCGGCTAGCATACACTGTCGTAACAAGTCACGAATGCTTCTTCAGAGAATATTTCAATTTAGCAGCCCGTCGGACGTTGCTTGTCTCTCAGGCGTGCATTTTTCCTTGGGACTCGATGTTGTTCGCCGTTCTTTTTTTCGTCGCACGCATAAGTTTCGAGCCATGTCTCTGGAGTTCGAGACAAGGGAAGAGCATCAGAAACGTGCTGTTTCCAGCACCACCCCTTTGTTTAGTTGACTCTTTGGCTCTTTTAAGGTCCTGCAAGAGTGGCAGTAACCGCAGATGCTTGACCAGCCGCTTGACTGAGAGCAGCACTTCGCAATCTTAAGCGTTGCAGTATATTCTTGCAAGGGTCGAGGATAAGACTGAGATCACCCTACCACTTCTCAGGAACAGGTGCTCGCTTAACATTCACCCCAACAGGAAATCCGTGTTATTGTCTCGATCCATCAAGGGGCTTAAACTCTGCCCGACCTTCGCTTTCCCTGTCATCATGTCAGAACTCAGCAAGCTGTTGTTCTGTATAACTCTATCTATGGAGTTAGACATGAAAATGTCTGGAATAGCCTGTCCCAGTATGGCGACTTAGTCATAGAAGCCATCCACATCAGGAGCACTCACTTACAATCCTTGTCACTTCCCTGCAGGCTTTGCTTCCGGAAATTCTCCGACTTCAGAACACTCCATGCAGAGGGAAGACCTCCAAAAGAGCAGCAATTCCGCCCAGCTTCCTCCTGTACCTGGTAATACCTGCAACCAGAAGGAAAAAACCTTCCACGCTGTAAAAACCAACCCTAAGGTCTTGACAACAATACGCCAGCAAGGAGAGCAAGCCAAACTACAAGAGCGGACTTTCCTAGCAACGTTTTCCAAGACAGGCTTCATTCTGGAATCAGCCCTTAGAAACCAAAAACCGGTGTACAGACCTTTGCTCTTCAAGCCTTACAGCCCTCGACTGCGACTTTTGATACTTTTGCGCTTGAGCACCAGAAAGCCCGCAGAGCTAAAAACGCCTTTTCACGGAGCTTCCTGACCATTGTTTAAAGCACTTCCAAACAATGGAGCGTTTGCCGGATTTTTTCTTGGCCATTGTTTTTTTTTGGACTGACGCCTCTTTACTACATCAGTAGCACAGTAGGCCGGTCTTGTTGGGCTCGACGTAAAGGGTGAAACAAAGTCAGCGCACACAATCCGCCAGACACACCAAGCAACCACCAAGCAAACAAACACCAAAGAAACAAAGCGAGCAATCGCGCTGAACTACTAGATACCCCACGGACTCAGTACTCGAAGTCGTCAATGAAGTCCCGGTTCACAAGGAAGCACAGAGCTTGTGGGGGAATCGCAAATTGCGACATTGCCAGATTCTCAAAACCACCATCATGTAGCCACTGGTGCGACAGCGGTTATTCAAACCGAGGTCATCAGAAGAGGTTCGGATCACGTACTCGTTGTCAAGGACAGACAACCGACACTCAACGGCGAAAGGATGTTGCAAGTCAGACTCCCTAGGGGGGATGAAAGATGTGCATATGCCCCAAGGTGGTCAGCCAGTGGGGACTTAACAGCAAGAACAATCAAGGCAAGACCGGCCCAGGGCACTCCATGGTGGTCAGCCAGTGGAGTAGCTCCGAGCTTTGGGTGCTCCATTCACATTGGCGTACAAGTGCCCACCCAGAGAGGTGTCCGCACCCGGCACAGGGGGCATATGCCCCATGGAGGTCAGCCAGTGGGGACTTGACAGCAAGAACAATCAAAGCAGGACCGGCCCAGGGCACTCCATGGTGGTCAGCCAGTGGAGTAGCTCCGAGCACAGGGTTCTCCAGTCAACCTGGCGCACAAGTGCCCACCCAGAGAGGTGCCCGCGCACGGCCAGAGGGGGGGCGAGAGTAGCTGCAGCTACCGATTCCACGGGGAGAGTCCTCAGCGAGTTACCAAACCCTTAACGCCACAGGGTTTATAATGACAACGAGGAACCTCCCAGTCCAGGCATCTCACACAAGGCCACGCAACCTTGGCGCTGGCCTGCGCGTCGGCACGCATCAGGTCCCTCCAAACCCAAACCCGCGAGGTACGTCGGTAAGGAGATGGGAGGGCTCACATCACATTGGTGCCGAAGTGCAAGGATCTCCATGGTATTGCTACTTTGATCCAATCAGAGCCTTCAGGTAACATCCACGCGGGCGGGGAGCCCACTGGCCCTGCCGCAGGCCAAGCTCAGACGAGGGTGACCCTCTAGAGTCTCAAGAGGGCCAGGTTGTTCTACAAGTGGGGAATGGCTCCCTGCCAAGTCAGCGGGTGCATAATCTCCACGTAGAAGTGTCCACAGCCAGCGCGCCGAACTGCTAGGTCACCCTGTGCACTCAGGACTCGAAATCGTCGAAGAGGCCAGGAGCACACATGTAGCACCGAGTGCGCAGGTGCGTCGCAAAAGGCGACGTTGCCAGATTCACAAAACCACCATCATGCAGCCACCGATGCGACTACATTCAGCACCAGCCAAGGCCGTTCACGAGAAGGTTCACAAGTCCGCCATCACAGGTGGGGCATAGTCGTGCCTTGACACGGGACGTTGCAGGTGTCAACCTTCTGGATCCGAAGTATAAAGTTGCCCCATGGTGGTCAGCCAGTGGGGACTTAACGGCAAGAACAAAGGGTAGGACCAGCCCAGAGCACTCCATGGTGGTCAGCCAGTGGAGCCTCTCCGAGCACAAGGCGCAACGTGCTTTTGACTCACAAGAGTCTCGTCCGACGGCCAAAGCAGGCTTGACTGCTTCGTTCCAGTCAGAGCCATCAGGTAAACTCAAGCAGGCGGGGACCCCACCTGCCCCGCAGGAAGCGGGAGAGTCCCCCAGTCGAAACTTCGCACTCAAGGCCAAGCAACTATCTCCTTGGCCGGTGAGGGTTGAGGGTTCAATAACCAGAATCAGACCCTCCATGCCCAAACCGACAGACGTCGGCGAGGAGATGTGAGGGCTCACATCAGGCTTGGCCACCTACCGATGGGGAGGTAGTCATGTATGGCTGCTTTGACGCAAGCAGAGATATACACCCAAGCAGGCAGGGAACCCCGCAGCAACCCAAGCACAGGCGAGAATGGTTCTCGTGAAGGCCAGGTTGTCCACAGGTGCTCGATGGCACATTGCCAGGGAAGTGGGAACCTGATCTCCGCGTAGAACTGGTCTCTCCCAATTGGCATGACGCCGTTGTACGACACGGGGGTGTCACCGTCCAGACGATAGATGGTCAACATTCAAGTCCGAGGGGTTCACACACGGTCGTAACACATAGAAGCGGGCAACCTGCCCACCAAGAGGGGGCAGAGGAAAGGAAGGTTGGCCGTTTTACCGATGACAAAGCTGGAACATCCAGGCAGGACCGGTCCAGGGTAGTCCGTGGCAGATGGCCAGTGGAGCAACCACGAAAGAAAGGCCCCCCGTTCCCACAGGCACACCGCGGGGCCGACCCAGAAGGGTGTTCACAGCTGCAAGCTGTAAGCACACAAAAGACAAGCACGATCCAATCCGTGGCATAGACCACGAGAGGGTTGCCAAACCAAGAGTATCCCGAGGTAGTCTTGCGGCATGTATCGGTGAGGAGATGTGAGGGCTCACATCACGCTAGGCAGCATGCCATGAAAGGACTCAATGGTGCGTTCGCATGGCGTCAGTAGGAGCCCTCAGATGACAGTTTGCTGGCTATTGCCAGGAGCCATCCCAGTCCGGACGCCGGGAGCGATGGCCAGTATGGGAACGCCTCCCTCGGCTGGGCATGACCTGCATTGGAGGCAGCTCTTGCTCATCACCCCCCACTCAGGGATGCCGTCCGGAATGGGGGATACGCATGTATCTTGTCATTGAGGTTTGGGCCGCGTGCCACATCACCCGGACAGCTTCCTGGATTTGCCTGTACTGCACAACACCTTCGTCCTTATACTGAAAGGGGAAGGAGGTAACTGCAGCACGCAGGGCCGAAGGATCAGGGTCCTTGGGGGTGCCATGACAGTACATCCTAAACCAGAAGCTGTTGAGGCGCTGCTTGGTTGGATGTTTGGCTCGCATGAGCCCCTTAATGGCAGCCCAATGAGCAGTGGCTGCGTCATACCACGTTGGGGCCCATGCTTGGTGGGTGTGGTGCTGATCCCTTTCCAATGCGCATCAAAGATGACTGGCAGCCGGAAAGGGGCGGAGACATCCACTTCTCGCAAAGCTGCAAGGTCAGTGGTTCGCAGCTCCGAGAAGCGCCAATCATTCACCTGTGCCTCGGGTTCGTCCTCCGCGTCTGACATGTCATCCATCGGGCAGGGAGAGCCTTCGTTAGTTTCGGAAGAGATGCTGACGACCTCCGGCGAGGTTGCTGCAGTGTTCGCTTCCACAGGCGCAGCACAGGGCGAGGAGAGCAAGCACTCTAGGGGCAACACTCGCCGTAGAAAAACAGCCATTCTGTGAGAAGTGTCAGGCCATTCCAAGTTAAAAACTGACCAAAAAAGATCAATGTTTTGGTTGGCCACCGAGGCCGCAAGAGCAAGCCGGATGGCGTCAAGGAAATGGGCAGGGGGGAGGTCCGGCCTAAATTCTTGATGGTGCCTTTGCCCAAGCGTCTGTGTGCCCTGCAGCGTGATGCCTAGGAACGTATTCAGGCTGGGCTGGGCAAGCCTGGCCGTTTCCACGTCCGTGTGCTTAGCAGCTGCGGCCCATGCCTGCAAGGCTTCTTGGGAGGCTTGGCCAGTGACTTGTGGCAGTCCACTGTGCGCGTCCATCACATATTTGGTAGTAGGGCACGTGGGACACCGATAAGCGCG